CTGGAGTGCAGTGACGTGATCTCGGCTCACTACAACCTCCGCCTCCCAGGTTCAAGCAGTTCTCCTGCCTCAGCCTCCCAAGTAGCTGGGACTACAGGCATGCACCACTGGCTAATTTTTATATTTTTAATAGAGATGGGGTTTCACCATATTGGCCAGGCTGGTCTTGAACTCCTGACCTCATGATCCGCCCACCTCGGCCTCCCAAAGTGCTGGGATTACAGGTGTGAGCCACCATGCCCAGCCGACTACCTGTAATTTATAGTTTTCCTCTCAGCCCTAATTCTGATAAAAATCAAGAACCTAGAAATAGAAAAGACAGTGCACATTCCTTCAAATGCTCACTGCCTTATTTCCTCCAGGCCTGTTTGCTTTTTGGGCAGGTGAGGCCACACTGAGACTGGAAAACGAAGGTCCGTGTGGTCCGACATGATGGATATATGTGGGAAGCATATTCTAGATACCAGGGCCAGGGCCTCTGCTTCTTACAAGCAGGTACAGAACGCAAATCCAGCAGGGTCTTATGGTTTATGACCTGCCCTGGCTTTCAGTCAAGGGCAAGATGGAAACTGAGGTGCCCACAGCACCTGCTGATGGGTTTTATTTTTTTCCCCACTAATAATAATGACTAGTATTAGTTGATTGGTTGAATACTTACCAGGCCGTCTTCTAAATGCTCATTGAGTCAACACCATAACCCTCTGTGTTACACACACAATACTATTGCTATTATTATTCCCATTTTACCATTGAGAAAACTGAGGCACAGCAATTTGATAGTCTAGAAAATAGCTATGCATACTTTAGTTTGGAGTAACTAATGTATAATTTATGTTTTTCTGTATTTGGGCAAGGTTTCTCTTACACAGCACTCACAGACAGGAGTCAAAATATTTATCAGCCTACAAAGCATAGGTATCCATCTATCAGGATAGGCTCTGGAAGCGGCTCAGATGCAAAAGTCCTGGAAATCTCTACTCTATTATGGGTTAACTTTGGGGTAGCCAGACCATGAGGCCGTTCTCAAGGAAGGAGCCAGGGCAGAAGGTGGGGAACCTATTTACCCACTGTTAACAGAAGTATTTCAGCATTTAATTATTATTAAGGAAATATAATGGTTTATAAATAATCATCTAATAAGTTATTGAAATAATTGATCAAAATAACTAGTATAGCTGCCCCACTGTTAAAACTCTTCCATTAAGAGTTGCAGTCCCCTAACTGGCTATCCGCTCCCTCCACTCCCTCCAGGGAGCTGTGCCTCCGACCCCTGAGTGTACCTTTCTGGCAGTGAAGCCCCTCAAAGCCCAAGGGGCAGTCACAGTCATAGCCCTCCTTCCTAGGCCGGCAGCTGCCCCCGTGGGCACAAGGGGCCCTCACGCAGGGGTGGGCCGCATTCTCCACATTCACTCCGGATGTGAAGTCATGCTTGACGTGGATGGTTCGGTCATTCAGGATGATCTTGGGAGAGAAAAACGTAAAGAAATTCAGGAATTGAGAAAACATCTTTGTAGTCTTCTAAAGCTTCCCTTGGCACATTAACCTAAGCTACACATAGGGAAATTAAAAAAAATTTTTTTAAGTTTTTCTCTTTTTTTTTTTTTTTTTAATTTGAGATAGAGTCTGGCTCTGTCGCCCAGGCTGGAGTGCAGTGGCATAATCTGAGCTCACTGCAACCTCCGCCTCCTGGGTTCAAGAGAGTCTCGGGCCTCAGCTTCCCGAGTAGCTGGCATTACAGGCACCCGACACCATGCCTGACTAATTTTTGTGTTTTTAGTAGAGATGGGGTTTCACCATGTTGACCAGGCTGGTCTCGAACTCCTGACCTCAGGTAATTGCTCACATCAGCCTCCCAAAGTGCTGGGATTCAGCTCCTGCATGGATGACAAGACTATAAAAGTAGAAACTAGGCTGGGCTAGTGGCTCACACCTATAATCCCAAGTTGATCCATCTGGGAGAATCTACAGAGTGAAGCGCTCCTCTGGTTCTGGAAGACTGGCTGGTTAGGTTGTAAAGAAGTTCCAAGAACTACAAAGTTTGGATTTCAACCTACTTGCACATCAGAAACACCTGGGGGGGAGGGGGCTTTCAAGAAAACTAATGCCCAGACCCACTCAGACCCATTGAACCAGAATCTCTGAAGGTGAGACCAAGTCATAACTTTAAAAAAGTTTCGAGAGTCACTTCAGAAGATGCAGCCCAGGTTGGGAGACACTGCCATATAAACACAACGGGGAGAGCGCAAAACCCAGGGTGACAGGAGGTCAAACAGGGCACCCTGGCTCCCCGTGGCTGTGGAATCCAGAGACGCTTCCCCGTGTACTCCTGTATGTTTCCAACTAATATTCTCAAGCGGTCTCTAAAATTCCATCAGCTGGACCTCCCCGATTGTCCCACTCACTCCTGCTATCCCCCTTCCCTGACATTCCTGAATCCCCTCCCTCTGCACATTCGCTTCCCCACTTAAGAAACAAAAGTGAAACCCAGGCCACATCTTTACCCCATTGTGCACAATTTTACTGGTGCCAAAGAGTTCCTTTGCCCCCTCTCCCCAGCAATGTGACGCTGGTGAAACTGATCAATTATGAGGAGGGGCTACTGGGTTCCCTAGCCGCAAATAAATGGCTCCAATGTCACCAGCCCTTGGTTCAGAATATGGATTTGCTTTGAATTGTTGCTGGACTTTACAGAACTTGGAGACAGAAAGAACACCTCCCAGGGGAATCCCCACTGCCCAGAGGTTATAAGAGGTGAGCAATGGCACTTCCTGCCACGAATCTAAGCTTCCAAAGGCTTGCCTGGCCCTTAGAGAGCATTGGGAGAGCTGAGAGAAAACTTTCCCCTTGTCCTGAATCTGAGAAGCTACTGGAGAGTAGCCAGGATCCTTCTACAATCTCCCCCTTTCACACTGCAAGTGAAGGATCAGGAAACTGCATAAACATGTGCTGAGACAAGCCAAGAACGGCACTGTTCACTCCAGGATGTGGCCCAGCCCAGGAATCAGGCAGGAGAGGGCGGTCGTCCTAGCAGGAGACGGGGAGAGGGTTGTGTGTGCTGTGTGAAGGGCAGGGCACAGCCTGAGAAGGGTGGGCAGAGGATGGGAAACGTCTTAGCTTCCCAGCTTGTTTCCTAAGTGAGAATTTGAAGCACATGGTTCAGCATGGCCAAGCCCACTTGTGGGGGAGAATGGTCTGGACTGAGATGTCACAGATCTTGGAGTTCAGTAACAAAGGGACAGAGATGTGGGTGACTGCCAGCAAATGTTGACTGGACCTGACATTGTGATGGGAGACATGATGGTCACGGCCGCAGGGGCCCTTTTCAGTGAAAGGAGGGACTTCTTTCATCATTCTTCCTTCACCTCAGCCTCCCTCATGCCCCATCTCAGGTCCAAAAAGGATCCTTTAGCCCCCACTGGTCACTAAAGGAAAACAGGATGAAGCTAACATCCAGGAACTAAACATGCTTTTCTTCAGATCCTTGTGCTCCAAGCGTTTGGTGGCTGCAGCCAGGGCGTGCCCTCAAAACCACAGGGATCACAGGCAGCACCAAGAGAAGGAGTAAAACACAGAGAGCAGGGGAGTCGGTATCTTTTACTCTTTTTTTTCTGAACCTTCTAGGGAAGGACTCTTTAATCTATGCTCTCAGGAGCTTGGTTACATGATCAATGAACAATTGCTGAAGTGTGGGGCTGGGGATGAGCATGGGCTCTAATATGGAGCAAACTGCGAAGTACTGCCAAAGAGAAGCACAGAGGCAAGGCTGCTATCCACCTCCACACTCCTCCTTCCCTGCTGTGGAAGTATCTGCAGACACCTGACGCCATTTAACTCTCTCAGCAGTCCTAATATAGTTTGGTAGATTTACTGTAAAAATTCATCATCACCAAATGGCATTCATGGAATGTCTGCTGGGCACAGACCCAGGAGCAGATGTTATAGGAAAGTGAGGTTGGAAAGCCATGCTGCGGGCATTACAAAATAAAATCTTAAAAATGTTCAAACTTTCTCGCAGTGTCTTTCTTGGGTGCAGCTGATGACACTGATCACAATCCTCGCTTTCATTTTCTGCGGTCTGAGTGGCCCAGTAAACATGAAGAAGAGACGCCTGTACCTTCTGGATGCTCCCGCTGAAAGGCCTCAGGACACCCGAGTTCTTCTTCACATCATCGTAACTGGGGACTCCACCAATAAAAATATCTGTGTTGCACTTAATCTGTGTGAAGCCTCCCTGCCAAGAGATTAGAAACAAAGCATGGTGTAACTTTAAAACAGATGTTCAAAATGGTCAAATGGGTCTTTGGTTCCCTGCTGGGGAAGAAAATGGTAGACACAGCCTCAAGACCCATCACGACAATCTGTCCACAGGTGCGCTTCACTTTCACCATGTTTTTCATTGCTACTTCCCACATGCCTGAATGTTGGTAAATGTCTTAATGTCTCTGAGACTTCGTTTTATTGTCTGCAAAATGGGAATCATTGTATCTACCTCATGGCTATGTCATGATGACTGGCAGAGTGCACCGCTGTTCGCTGGTACCCCTCCCCACAGGGAGATCGCCTCCAATCTGCCATCTCAGATGCGCTTGTGTGACTTCCTTTTTTTTTTTTTTTTTTTTTTTTTTTTTTTTTTTAGATGGAGTCTCGCTCTGTTGCCAGGCTGGAGTGCAGTGGCCTGATCTTGGCTCACTGCAACCCCTGCCTCCTGGATTCAAGTGATTCTCCTGCCTTGGCCTCCCAAAGTGTTGGGATTACAGGCATGATCCATGCGCCCAGCCTTGTGTGACTTCTTATGACCAATAAAACATGAGCAGAAGAGAAAATAATCACTTCTGGGCAGAAACTTTCAGAGCCTGAGAGTAGTTAGCCATGCCCTTTCCTCCCTCCCTCTGTTCCTTCAGCCTGGATCTCAGATTAGAGCTTCAGCTAACCATTGGTGGATACGTATCATGAGTGAGAAATAAACCTTGAATTTGAGAGCTCTGGGAATGAACGCACTTTAGGTAACATTAAAGTTATTATTTCCTTTGATTTACAAGAAAATAAATATAAATAGTAGCAGCTTTGATCATTTATTTAACAAATATTATTAGGCACTTACTATAATATGCCCCAGCCACTGTGTTAAGTGCTGGACAAACAACAGAAAATAAGAAAGACCCAGTCCCTGCCCTGCAGGGGTTTATGCAAGTAGAGAACACAGACAAGTAAAAGAGCAGGTGAGATCAGCACTGGGAAGAACTGTACAGGTGGCTATGGGTGCACCTGGGTGCCAGACATGGGAGTCTCATCCTACTCTAGACACAGGGAGTGGGAGAGGTGGTCAAAGAGTTAACACTGTGGAAACTGGAAGAAGTTGGGGCTTAGAGGGAATGTGACTATAAGGCACAGGCGAGAAGGGGCCAGAGCATGCAGGACCTTATACGCCACATTAGGAGCATGAACTTTACCCAAAAAGCAATGAGATTTAAGCAGGAGAGAGAGAGGTCTGCACTTTGGAAGATCGCTGGCTAGGGCAAGGAAAATGAATTTGGGGTCAGGTCAAGGATAGAGAAGATGAGACAGGCGAATCATGGAGGAGGAAGTTCTGTTTATCTTGGGGTGTGCCCACAGTGGCTGGTGCCAGCCAGGTACCCCAGGGAAATTTCAATTAGATTAATAGACCAAACTGTCTTCTATCAATAACCTTCAGGCAGCTTTGAGGTTCTGACTTAGCTAGGAGGTTATCAAAGAAGCATAAAAGCTTTCAGGAATTCCTGTGGCCCAGCAATAACACCGAACCCATCAGGGACTGTCACCACAAACCCACAGGCATCTTTCTTTTGTCCTTGCTCTTACACAAGAGTTAAAATAAGATGGAAAGAGGAGAGGAGGAAGGACACACAGTCAAGGAGGTTTCAGAGCAGCTGGCTGCTAGGAAAAAAACCTTTGCATTATGATGTGTCCAGCAGCGGGCCTCGTGGAGTGAGGAGCAGTTCCTTTTGGCCGCTCATCAAAATCCTTGTCCGGCACCCTCCTGCTGACAAGTGGAAGGGCTGCAGCTGTCACGCCCACGGGGGACCACAGGAGAGAAGTGAACAGATCCCACCAAAGCCAGACCTGCTCTGCAGTGAGGGGCTTCATGTCTGGATCCCATACTTTGGCTTGGCTGGAGCAGTCTGCAAAGCTGAGCAAACCTCCAGGCTGGAGTTTCCTGAAAGCCGCAGAAGCACTGCTCCTCCATGCATCTTGCATAGTCGGATTCAACCCCAGGCTTTTGGTATTTCTCAGTGCTGCCAGCTGAGCAGTCTGGAGGTCAGGTTGAGCTGCGCATGGGCTCTTAGCTGCTTGGGTCCTGGGTTAGCCCCTCAAAGTGTTCTCTAACCCCTGCCCTCACCTGTCTCTGAGCTCTAAGACCATCCCCCTGTCAACCACACTTCGACCATGATAGGGACAGCTGGGGAGCAGAATTCCTTGTGGAAAAGACTTGATTAAGGTTTAGCACATGGAGATCAGGCATTGGCCTTCCCACCCTGGCTCACAGAGGACTCAGCAGAAAGTCCCACTGATGCACGCACCAAAGCCACACCTTCCTGTGGGTTCCTTTTGCTTTTCTTTTGTGTTAAAACTCCAGTTAGTTCCATTCACCCACATGCTGCCAGAGGTCAAAAAGCCAAAAGGGAGGGCGCAGGCTCCACCATATTGGTTTCATGCTCTTTTGCTGATGTGCAGTGATAGAAACTCTGGGCTGTCTCCTAGATCCTAATAGTAAATACTGTGTCCTGAAGAGTTAACTTATTTATAATCATGGACCTTGCCCCTACTGTTTATAAACATTCCCATCCTCAGCTTTTGTTCCTGTTTACAGATGTTTGCAACTAAGATCTAGAGAGATACAATTGAGTTTATATAATTAAGCCAAGAGACAGCCAGGTGTATTCTTGTGAGCTTCTAATTCTGTCTTGGACTAAAGTTGGCTGCTAGAATGTTCTGGATTGTACCAGAAGTGACTTTGGTTCCCCCTTTAAAATCAATTTTCCTTCATCCCCTCCTTTCTTCCCTTCCTCCCTTTAAAATCAATCCCCTCCCTTCCTTCCTTCCCTCCTTCCCTCCCTCCCTCAATACTTCCCTCCCTCCCTCCTTCCTTCCTTTCTTCCTCCCTCCCTCCCTCCCTTCCTTCCTTCCTCCCTCCCTCCTTCCCTCCCTCCCGCCCTCCTTCCCTCCCTCCTTCCTTCCTTCCTTCCTTTTTTTTCCTTCCCCTCCTCTCCTTCCCGCCTTCCCTCCCTCCCTCCCCAGATATATATGGAGCATTTTCTAGGTGTGAAGTGTGCCCACCTCTTGACACAGAACCCAATTTTGGATTCCCCTCAATCCCAAGGAGGTCCTCCTACCACTGCAGCCCGTCGGGCTGGCTTCTGGACATATCTGTCCCTCTTTCTTCTCTCTCCAATCAAGTAACTCTTTCCCCACCAAAAGTCTCGTCTTCCTCCTTTTCTTTTTTCTACTAATATATTTGCTTATTAGTATACCTAAATTTGTCAATGTCCTCTTTAAATCTTCCTTTGCACAGAATGAAAACTGGTGGGAACTAAGATATTGGCCAATCTAAATTCCCCTCTATTTTTAAGGAACTGTAAATTGTGTGTGTGTGTGTTTGCAGAATCCTAGCAGGCTAGAGTTTAAAGCAAATCTCCCTGAATTTCTCTTAAAAATGTTATCTTTCTTTGGATATGACCTTGGAATTAAAATCATGGAGGGAAGTTATAAACTTGAGTAGAAATTCTCCCCTTGAGTCCGTAACTGTACACTATTAACCACGGCTACTACTTCCACCACCACTACTGCTGCTACGTAAAGCTGTTTACTGCTGACCTGGCATCAGGTACTGTTGTGTTTTACATGGACAATTCTTTTAATTCTCACAACAATTCTGTGAAGTAGGCACTATTATCATCACCATTATCCCCATTGATATGAGCGCTCCTGCTGACAAGTGGAAGGGCTGCAGCTGTCACGCCCACGGAGGACCGCAGGAGAGAGGCAAACAGACCCCACCAAAGCCAGGCCTGCTCTGCAGTGAGGGGCTTGGTGTCCAGATGCCACACCTTGACTTGGCTGGAAGCAGTTTGTAAAGCTGAGCAAACCTCCAGGCTGGTTTATGAGGATAATGCTGAGACGAGAAAAACAACCTTGGTGGTAGGTCAAGTAACCAGTATGAGCTCACCCCACTGGTAAGTAATGGAGCCAGGTTCTTAGCCCCAGGAGTCTGGTCTCACAACCTGTTCTTGTCAGGCCTCCCCCATGCACCACAGGACCCACCCCGGGGTCCATGTTCTTACCTACTACCTGGTATAGCTGATAAGAACAAAGGTGGAGGTGGGAGGTGAAGAGGTAAAAGGCAATTTTGTAAGTGCTGAACGTATTGGGTTTCAACTCATTTAATCCTCACAACAACTCTATGAGGCCCATACTATTATTATCCTCATTTATAATTAACCAATAGAAAAGTTGAGTAATTTGCCCTGTGCGAAGCTGGGATTTTGACAGAGGCACTGAAGTCCATGTACTTAACCACAACACTGTGCTGCTTTTCTACCAGGACAGGCAGTAAACAGTAATCTGGTTTACACTGACCAACAAGAGAAAAGCCGTGCTATTCTTACCTCTGCCATCCCCTCCACTACCTTCTGTTTATCCACCTGTAAGATTCCATTTTTTGCTGTGCGAGATACACGAAGCTCGTGCCAGTTGCCTAGGGTGAGGGGATCTTCACTCCTGTGGAAGGAAGATGTGATATTAATTTTATGTATCGAATTGACTAGGATAAGGAATGCCCAGATAGCTGGTAGAACATTATCTCTGGGTGTGGTTTCTGGAAGAGATGAGCACCTGAATCAGTAGACTTAGTAAAGATCTGCCCTCACCACCTGGGCAGGCATCATGCAATGTGCAGAGGCTCTGAACTCAACAAAAAGGAAGAGGAAGGAGGGTGTGCTCTCCCTTCTTGAGCTGGTACATCCACCTTCTCCTGCCTTGAACATCAGTGCTCCTGGTTCTTTGGTCTTCAGACTGGGACAAAGACTTATATCATCAGCTTCCTGGTACTGGGCCTGTAACTTGGACTGGAACTGACATCGTGGGCTCTCTGGTTCTCAGGTCTTTGGGCTTGGACTGGAAATACACCACTAAATTTCCCAGGCTGCCAGCTTGCAGACGGCAGGGCACGGGACGTCTCAGCCTCCACAATCATGCAAGCCAATGCCTCATGATAAATCTCTCTACATATCTATTACAGCCTATTGGTTCTGTTTCCCTGGAGAACACCGACTAACATAGAAGGAAACTGAGCATGGGTTAGCACATTATGGATAATTTTTATCAATCTAGCCATGGAAAACCAGTGCTAACCGTAGGCACCCCAATCCACTCAGTAAAAAGAAAACACTAATTCCTGTTTAGTAACAACAGCCAGATTAGCTACCATTTATTGGACCCCTTCATACAGTAGGAGCATTGCATTTATTGTTTTATTTATGCCTCACAATGAGCCTGAAATGGGGTTCAGCGAGTTTGGTTTTCTAGATGAGAGGTGGCATGAAGGTAAAACATGGTCATAATTGTGCACAAGCTTGGAAGAAGAGAAAAATTCTATGAGCTATGGTGTAAAAAACAAATTATTTGGTGTACCAATGTCTGTAACATACTTTGAAATTCATGAAAAATAAGAAGGACCTTTCTGCTGTAGGCCTGAGTGGCTGCTGTTGAAATGGGCAAGTTTGTGAAACCTGGGAAAGAGGTAGTGGTCCTCTCCAGGTGCTGCTCTGGACACAAAGCTGTCACTGTGAAGAGCATTGATGATGGCACCTCAGATCACCCCTACAGCCACCGGATAGCCCCTTGGACAAAACCGTTATCAATAAAGACGTCTTAAACGCAAGGCCTGATGGGAGGCCCAGGTCAAGTACAAAGAGAGGAACTGATGGGCAAGAACAAGTGGTTCTTTGAGAAGCTGCAGTTTTAAATGCTTTGTTTTGGTCATTAAAATTTTTTTTAAAAAAGGACCAGACACGGTGCCTCTCTTTAATCTCAGCACTTTGGGAGGCCGAGGTGGGTGGATCATGAGGTCAGGAGATGGAGATTGTCCTGGCTAACATGGTGAAACCTTGTCTTTACTAAAAATAAAAAAAATTAGCTGGGTGTGGTGGCACATGCCTGGAGTCCCAGCTACTCAGGAGGCTGAGGCAGGAGAATCGCTTGAACCTGGGAGGCAGAGATTGCAGTGAGTCAAGATAAGATTGAGCCACTGCACTCTAGCCTGGGTGACAGAGTGAGACTCCATCTCAAAAAAAAAAAAAAAAAAAAAAAGGATGGATGGACAGATATAACAATGGCTAGATATGTGATGAAGCAAATACAGCAAAATGTTAATTACAGACTACAGGTGCTCGGTATCAGGATGCTTACTGTACAATTCTTCCAATTTTTCTATATGTTTGACATTTTTAATAAACAATTGGGCAGGAAACAGATTTCATATTTTCTGATATTGTAAAAATGATTAAAATGACATTAAAAGTTCAATTATTCATTCAAAGTGGAAGTGCTTAAAGTTTAATGACATTTATGCAAGTCTTTTTTTTTTTTTTTTTGAGATGGAGTTTTGCTCTTGTTACCCAGGCTGGAGTGCAATGGCATGATCTCGGCTCACCGCAACCTCCGCCTCCTGGGTTCAGGCAATTCTCCTGCCTCAGCCTCCTGAGTAGCTGGGATTACAGGCACGCACCACCATGCCCAGCTAATTTTTTGTATTTTTAGTAGAGACGGGGTTTCACCGTGTTGACCAGGATGGTCTCGATCTCTTGACCTCGTGATCCACCCGCCTCGGCCTCCCAAAGTGCTGGGATTACAGGCTTGAGCCACCGCGCCCGGTCTCATTTATGCAAGTCTTACTCATTACATTTTATAGTGAGGTGTGCAGAAAGAGTCTCATTATTGCATTTGTGTTTCCAGCAATGTCTAGTTCCTGGCCCTTGCTGAACTTCCCAATTATTTTGTGGTCCTGGATCTTCTTTAGAAAACCATGAGGAATACCAATGGGCACAATTATTGAAAGGTCACCACCCCCTCGCTTGATTTTTTTTTGCTTTGGCAAATGCTTTTGTGATTTGTTCTTAGCAATTAGAATTTAATCACCTTGGCTAAATCAATATGCAATAAAGAAACAAGCAGCCCTTTTTAAGTGGTCTATCTCCATAACTGAGCCGTTTCATGTTTTTTGTGCTGCAGAGGTCACTTGCTGTCGATGCGTCATCTTCCTCGACACCCTTTTATCGATCAGGGCCATCAAGAACTCATTCCAGTTGTCTTGATTTTTTAATCAAGTTCATAATGAATTTGCCCATTGTATCCTTTTTCTAAAGTTAAAATGATTTGGCCAATTCCACAACTTCCTGTAGTTGGGGCTTTCACTGCATTTTCTTAATTAAGCAAGAAGTCTTTGAAATGGTTTCCAAAATAAACAGCTTCCAAAGGGGCATCTGAAATACCAGGAGTAATCACTGTTGTCAGGTTACACTCAGGACAGGATGGGAAAAGGGGAAAGACGGTGATTTGTCCCTTAGAAACTCTTGCCTCATTTCCATCACCTAATTCTTAAAACTTCTTTTTCCATTGCCTTTCCTGACAGACAGTGAAATAATATTTATTAAAAAAATTAAAAACACCTTGTGTTTTTAATAGGCACAGAGTTATGAAAGAGAAAAATGCTGGACTTCTAAGTGTTCCATGTGCTTGTGACCCGACAGCTGGAGCTGACACTGCAGAGAGGCAGTGTGGAGGGGGCAGCCTGTCCAGGAGGGGGGCTGACGAGCCCCGACCCTCTCCTGGATCTTTCTGGTCATTCCTTATCCAGAAAGAAAACCATTTAAAAGTGCAAGGTGATATTCAAGGTGTCTTCCTTGAATACGGTTCTAAGTGAATTGCTTAGACTATTTTGCATAATCATATGTAAATTGAATCAATTAAATCCCCACCAAAGTTGTCTTGAAATATAGGATGTTTTTGTATAACCAGAGGTACAACAATATTTGTCCATTCCTCTAGGGGAGAAGGTGTCACCAATGTGTAGGAATTCAGCCACAAGGACAAAAATAAACCGTCCTTTCTGAGAAGCATTGAAACCTAATGCAATGAGCATTTTCCATCAGCCAGGAAAAATGATCAGCAGTTAAGGGAAATGCATGGCTGTTACATCTCACCCACATACTCTTTTTAAACATGACAGTCTAGCAATATGAATAGTGATTCAACACAGTTAGCAATATTCTTTGAAACAACAACAGACTAACTGATATCCTGTTACAGGGCAGCATGGAGCAAACATCTTTTTGAGTTTCAAAAGAGAAGCATTAGACAAATGTATGTGCAAGGAGTATGTCCACATTCGATGAGTGGTCCGTCTGCCTTGGAGGTTAAAGCTACCACAGAAGGAGCACAGTAAAAAGATGGAGACATAAACAAATAAAAGTTCTGCATCTACCAACTACAGGCTCCAAGGAACAACTGACCTGCTAAGTAATTTAATAGTACAAACTAGATAACAGTAGAAAAGTTTTGACTACTCAGACCAATTCTGCAAATACCAGCAAGTACCGTGAAGCACCCATTTCCTGCAGTGCTACGGAAACCACCCATCACACTTCTTTCTTGAGCGTATCAGTTAGGGAGTGGGTCTCTGCATTGCTGATGATTAACTGTCAGTTTCCATTAAAAAAATAGTTCAAGTGGAAAGTGAAAATTTAGAGTGAGGTTATCAAGGACATTTTTGTTCATAAATATTTGTTAATACTTTTTTACTAGTTGACATATATTTGCTGGGTGCCCATCACGTGATGCTCTGTGTAAGATGCTGATTAGTTACAGTTCATCAAGTTTCTGTGGCCAGCATGGCGTAAGCTTAGCTGGAAATGGAGGCAGTTTACTTCCAACTGAGGCAAGTCCATTTTCCCTAGTTTGAAGTATAGAATTGCTACTTGCTGGGTAGTTATTTGAGAAAAGGCAACTGTGTGGGCAGGAGAGCGCTCTCTATAGGAAGCCTGTCACCTGCATGAAGCAGGACAAATCAGGACAAGTTTCAGAGGATAAGAATGTAGAGAAGACAGGATGAGTGTAAGCTGTTGAATTGCAATTTGTTTTTATTTTGTTGTGAAGGAGTTACTCTTTGCCTTTTTAAGGGAAAGGGTCCCAGAAGGTTTCAGCCCTCACCTGAGAATACCCGTCCCAGAGCCACAGTCAAAGCGGAACTCCACGTGGCCCTCTGCCATGTTGATGGACAGGAAGTCTTTGCTGTCTGTGTCATAGCTGTATAGGAGGACACCGTTTCCTGAATCTGGCCGAAATGTGATCTCAAACTCCATGAAGGAAAGGTAATGCTGGGGCTCCAGTGGCCAGGGTGTTGCAGCGTAGGATCTCAGAGACTCTCTGAATTGCGGAATGGTCAAGGTGAAAGCTGAAGAAACAAACATGATGTTAGAAATCCCGCTGTGGCAGAAACTGACCAGATGTACACCCATAGCTGTGTTCTTTTCTTCCTGGATCAGACCTAAACTACAATTCCCAGCAGCCCTACAATAGCTTGGTGGTGTGACTGAATTCCGGCCAGTAGAACATGTGTGAAAGAATCACACAGACAGTCTGGCCCCTAAAACTTTCCTCCATCCTCCATGTTCTTTCTCTCCTCTCACATGCTGGCTGGATGCAGCTATCAGTGGAGGACTCCAAGGCCCCAGAACAGCCATTAGATGGCAGAAACCTGCGTCCCTGTATAACTATGTGGAGCAGAACCCCTCTCTTACCACCACCTCTGCAGTGATTTTGTAATGTGAACAAGAACCAGCTTTGATTATGTAAGGCTACTGAAGTATGAGATGGTATGTTACAGCATTGGCTTACCCTGACTCATAAGCCCTCTTCTAGGTGACACGTGGTTTGAGATTACAAAAGTTTTCCCCAGTGTGGTATCTTAGGTCTAAATCTGAATTAGGGAAGAATTTGACTAGTTTTGTAATCTTAGCCTCAGTTTTACTTTCTTTTTATTTTAATTTTAGAATTCTGGGAAACTGATTTTCCAAAATCATTTTTGGAACCCTCCATGATTTTCCAAAATCTTTGAAATTTTCTGTTATCATTTGCGTGTGTGTGTGTGCACATGTGTACTTGTGTGTATGTGTTTCTATGTGTATATATATACATATGTGTGTACATGTATATATATGTATATACAGAATATGTATATAGTTACATATTCTGTGTATATACAGTATTAAAGTGTGAAATAATTTAGTATAACAGTACAAAAAAAGGGTGCTTTTGTCTCATCACATTGTTAATGTTTCTGTATCTGTGTCTACCTTCCCTATATATATATATAAATATATATATATATATATATAAATATATATATATATATATATATATATTTTTTTTTTGAGATGGAGTCTCTCTCTGTTGCCCAGGCTGGAGTGCAGTGGTGAGATCTCAGCTCACTGCAACCTCTGCCTCCCAGGTTCAAGCAGTTCTCCTGCCTCAGCCTTTTGGTTAGTTGGGATTACAGCTGCGCACTACCACGCCCAGCCATTTTTTTGCATTTTTAGTACAGAAGGGGTTTCACCATGTTGGCCTCAGCCTCCTAAGGTGCTGGGATTACAGGCATGAGCCACCACACCCGGCCCCAGCTTCCCAATTGTTTATCAGAAACTGACAAATACTCTGAAGGGCATAAGCATGAGTTTTAAATATTTTGAATTCAGTCTGATACAAACCATACCAATACAGGCTCTTTAAAAGTCATTCAAGGGCCAAGAGGAGCCCATTCATTCTTGGCATCTTGAAATAAACATATGTTTGGCTGAGGGACAAAAGATGCCCCGTAGTAAGAAGTTTTGAAAGGCTCAACACCAGATGAGTGAGTTCTCTTTGCCAAACAAATTTTTGTACTCAGAGATGCTCCAACCTGGTTAAAAACCAGTTTTCCCCATCTCTCCCAACAAAACAATGCTGATCCCACAAAAATGTATGGGGCTTTATTAGCTTTGCTAAAAGTATACTGATGAGGCCGGGCATGGTGGCTCACACCTATAATCCCAGCACTTTGGGAGGCCGAGGCGAGCAGATCACTTGAGGTCAGGAGTTAGAGACCAGCCTGGCCAACACGATGAAACCCCGTCTCTACTAAAACTACAAAAATTAGCTGGGCATGGTGGCGCATGTCTGTAGTCCCAGCTACCCAAGAGGCTGAGGCAGAAGAGAATCACTTGAACCTGAGAGGTGGAAGTTGCAGTGAGCTGAGATGTATCACTGCACGCTGGCCTGGGCAAGAAAAAGGGAGCCTTTGTTTCAAAAAAAAAAAGTACATTGATGATAAAGTACATCTACAGGAATTAACATGCAGACAGAAACTGCCATCAACTTGCTTCTTTCTCACCGTCTTCACAGTGTCGACCTTTAAACCCAAGGGGACAGAGGCAAATGTAGGAGTCGGCTTTGATTGCTGTGCAGGTGCCACCATTGATGCACGAGGCCTCATCACAGATTCCACTGCTGCATTCCCCTAAATGCAGAATGAGAATTACAAAGCCAATCTGGCATGTGTGCCAGTCCAACACAGTGGTGCTGACTCCACCAGCAGCTCATGGTTCTGAATAAATACAGTTCAGTTCTTACTCCTGTTGATTTGCAGCCCTGCACAACTGCAAACGGGCTTTCAGGGTAAGTGGAACCTGCTCTTCACTTTAATTTGATTTTGGTTTGTCCTGTATGAAGAGCCACAGGGACTTTAAAACACATGATGGACACAATAAATCAAATACTACATTTCTGGGCAATTTTATGACCACTAACTGAGATGACTGAGCTGTTTCTGCTTTAATTCATCTCTCTGTTGCTTCCACAAGAGCATATTTCAATCTCTCCAATGTCAACAGGGTGTTTATGTTAAAAGCATTCTAAATTGCATGACCCCAATTAGCTTAAGTGCTGCTGCCTTGGTTCAAAGTTGAGACAAACAAGGTAAGCATGGAAGGAGTTACCCAGCCACATCTAAGCTGATTAACTCACCTGGATTGTGGACTCCTCTGTCTAGGGTAGGGAGCCGGGAGGGAGGGCCCCATAATACGCTGGCACAAGGGTTTCAGAACCCCTATTTCTACTTCCAAAGTTACACTCTTATGAGGGACAGAAAGGTGGGCTGCAGGAATGAGGGCTGAAAGGCTCAACATCTGATGAGTCAGTTCTCTTCACCAAACAGATCAGAGAGCTACAGAAAGGGTATCCTTTGTCATTTTCAAGCGTAGGTCATCAGAGGAAAACAAACAGACTTTTCATGGGCTGTTTTTCTTCTGCTTGTGTTTTTTCTTTGTGTGTAAGAAATCAGTTAGACAGATGGACCACCATCTGGCCCAGAACCACATGAGGGAGTACAAAACACTTTTTCTGGGGGTGGAGGTAGAAGGGTGTTCCTCTGGAAGTGAAGCGTCCAGCTGTGCTCTCTCCGTCTTCAAGGCTGCCCTCTGCATGAGCTGGTAGCCCACCCTGTGACAGCAGGAGCCCTCCTTTGCCTGAGTGTGTCACCTCGGCAAGGTGAGTCTCTCACCCTTCCCTCCTTGAATTGGTCCAGCCTTTTCATAAAGACTCACTGGGAGGAGGGGTAAGGACCAGGCACCCAGGGTAGACCCAGGAGAGGAGACTGTCTTTATGGGTTGCTAACAGAATTTAATTAAAGCCCTTGCAGATGGCTTGCCACCCCAGCTGGGGTGGGCTAGTCTCTGTGAATTCCAGCTGGTGGCTACTGGCTGTTCATGCAGACATGACCAGTGGTCTCCAGCCACAGCCCTAAGAATGTCACCCCCAGCATTCACGGTCTCTACAGAGATGCTGGCTGACTTTGATCTTAAAGAGCCAAATTCTTAAAGGTCCCTGAGCCCCATCAATATCTGTGGGTTGTGATTCCTTCACAGAGCTTGGCTGGATCCACAGGAAGAAGCAGGGTCCTTGTGTTATTTTCGATGTACAGGGATGAATCACTTTACAAATCTTCTGCATTTTAACTGTTTTTAAGAGGTGGGGGTGGGGTAGGGGAGGTCATGAAAGCCAGACGGAAGTGTTGACTTGGTGAAAGCAGTGTAGCTGAATAGGTTCGTTTCAGGAGGAAAACTCTCAACTCAGAGTGATGGGAAGGAGAGGTGGGTGTGGCAAGGTCATGTACACACGGACCTCATCATCAATATGTAAAGTCGCTTTCACCAGCGCCTACCATAGGCCAGCTGTGGTGTAGGTTTCTGCTAGATAATAAAGTGAGAGGTAGAAGAGAAATAAGACTCCTAAGGAGGGGAAAGAATGTGGAACATCATTGGGTGGAGTTCCTTAAAGAGACCATGAACAAGAAGAAGCTTCCCAGTCCCCAGCCCCCAGCCCATAACCAAGGCCCACCTATTTCTCCCCTAGTGATCTGTCAGATCTGTCTCGGTTTCCACCACCACCACCACCACCTAGATCAAACCGTCATTTGTCATGAGACCTACTGCACTAAACCTCAGCTGGTCTACATGTATCCCTGAAAACCCCTTCCAATTAGCTGTCAGAGGATCTTCTCAAACTACAAACTAGATCCTGGCACCCATCTCCCTGCTCCTATTTCCCTGGAACAAGCCCTTCCCTCTGCCTGGAATGTCCTTCCCTCTCTTCTCCACCTTTTTACTCCTACTCTTGCTTCATATTAACTTCCTCTTCTGAGAAACTCGTTCCCCGCCCTCCAGGCCCTAAAACCTCCCTATTTAATATCATTGCACTGTCACTTCTCCTTCATAACACTTACCCCAGGTGTAACTTCACCTTCACTGTGTCATTATTATATTAATTTGGTCTCTCCTCATGGCAGCCGTATGAGGGCTGAGGTGGATCCTGTCTTGTTCATTACTTGATCTTCAGCACCCAGCATTGTGACAAGCACTAAGCAGGTGCTCAGTGAAATATTTATTGAGTGAAATGAGGAAAAGAGTTGGTCAGCCATGGTGAGACCCATGGTTACCACAGACCTCTTAAATCTCAAATACCTTGGGAAGTGGCTCTGTGACTGCTCCAGCAGAATGGGGTTATCCAAGACAGGATTGGCATACATAAGTGGCAGAAATATAGGTTTGAGAAACTGAATGAAAATAATCAAGAGCTGGACCAGAGAATGCAAACTTTTCTGAGATTGCTGACTGACTATTCTAGAATGTGACTTTCAGAGAGCACAGGAGCTGGGAACAGTCTAATGAAAGACAGGAGATGAAGTGGAAAGAACTGAGTAATGAAAGGGCACTTTGGGGAATGAAGATGAGTTTAGTGGGAAGGCAGAGAAAAAGTCACAGTTGAAGATGGCAATGCCAAGTTAGAGGTATCAGATGGGGAACCATGACCTCCCTGGTGAGGCAGCATTTGACTTATAAAAACTGGAATTTCAGGAGGACAGCAAGCATGGAAGCTGAGGAAGGATAACCAGTCCCACCCTTATACCCCAGAGGAAACAAAACGGGAGGAACTGTAAATCACCAACATGGCTGACACGTGCCATTAATAATCACAGTCATCTATGTAGTAATCCAGTAGCTGTATCCAGGGAGCTGGAGCCCTCAGGGTAGGTCCTTTTGGTGCCACCTGCTGGAGAAGTTGGTATCGCACTGTGTGGGAATTAGCAAAGCTGGCAGAAATCAGTTCTTGCCCACTCTGCAACCTCTGAACGACCTGTTACAGGATGTCATGCCATTTCAGGACTGCCGGCTTATTCAGGGAGTGTTTTCCTGAAGAAACAGATTATAGCTAATTTGATGGGTAGGGGTAGGATATTAATAATAATATTAAAAACAAGAAACATTTATGAAATGTTTGCAATGGGCAAGGCCCTATTCCAAGTGCTTTTTATGCACAACTCATTTAAACAAAATAAACTTATAAGGTTGATACTATTTCTAGATGGGGAGACGGAGTTGCAAAAATTTGTCAAATCCAGGAAATCTGCCTTCAGAGTCCAGGCTCTTAAACAAGGCATGTGACTCCTGATGGGACTGCTGATTCTGAATCATCACAGAGATAAGAGGGATTTTTGGAGACACTGTCCTACTATAGTGACAGCTTCAATAATTGTTTCAGTCATTGCTGCTTATTGTTTACTTTGACCAAGTAATCAATGGATGATAAAGTTTTCTTGTTAAGTAAACTTCATCTTTTGTGGTTATAACAATGGCATCACTTATAGGAGTGAACAAGGTGGAGGGAAACAATTTGGTAGCTGTAGTTGATTTTGTTAAGAGGGTTGGCCCTGGTGCCAGCATGGCTAAGGTCACATTGGGCTCTACCGCTTATTAGCTGTGTGGCCTTGGGTGAGTTACTTAACTGTTCTGTATCATTGGGTTGTTTTTTTTTTTTTTTTTTTTTTAGAGACAGGTTCTTGCTTTGTCACCCAGGCTGGAGTGCAGTGGCACGGTCTCAGCTCACTGCAACCTCTACCTCCCAGGTTCAAGTGATTCTCTTGCCTTAGCTTCCTGGGTGGCTGGGATTACAGAGGCATGCCACCATATCTGGCTAATTTTGTATTTTAGTAGAGACAGAATTTCACCATGTTGGCCAGGCTGGCCTCCAACTCCTGATCTCAGGTGATCCACCTGCCTCAGCCTTCCAAAATGCTGGGATTACTGATGTGAGCCACTGCACCTGGCCGCATTGGTTCTTATCTGTAAACTAAGACTAATGTCAGCACCCACTTCATAACCTTGGAAAGATCAAAGTAATTTAGAATGGTGCCTACTTAAAGTAGGTGCTCAACTAATATTAGCTACAAGAAAAAAACAAAACAAAAAACTGTTCTGGGAGTCATGAGAATCGAATCCTACCTCTGATTGAGGAATGGAGAGAGGGATGAATTGATATGTGGTCAAGAAAATGCAGCAAAATGTTAACGGTGGATTTTAGAAAGTGAGACTCTGGTGTTCACTGTGCATTCTTTCAAAATAGCCTCTTAGAGATGGAGGGAAAAGAGACTCAAGGAAAAGACTTGCATTTCTTGCCAAGGACAAAGTCATGAGGATGTGGTGCTTAATGTAGTGAATGAAAAGGATGAATATCAGAGAGACACCAACTCAGAGTCCTGAAATCACAGGGACCCTGTTACAGACTGAACTGTCTTTTCCCCAAAATTCACAGTTGAAGACCTAGCTCCCTGTATTTGGAGATAATATCTTTAAGGAGGTATTTAAGGTTAATTGAGGTCATTAAGAGTGGGGACCTAATCCAGTCTGATTGTTGTCGTTAGAGGAGGATATTCGGACACACAGAGAGATACTAGGGGTGTGCATACATTGGGGGAAAAACCTGCAAGCACACAGCAAGAAGGTGGCCGTCTGCAGGCCAAGGAGAGAGGCCTCCCCAGAAACCAACTTGGCCGGCACCTTGATCTAGGACTTCCAGTCTCCCAAACTGTGGGAAAATTAATTTCTGATGTTTAACTTGCCCAGTCTGTGGTATTTTGTTATGGCAGCCCTACTAGACAGTCCCTGAATTAACCAACCTTGGAATTATCTACCTGCTGCCTTCAGTGATAGAATTAATGTCCTTATTGCTTTAAAAAATAAGCCTAGTTTCTTCTTCTATGAAATGGGCATGATAATAATTTCTACCTCTTAGAGTTAGCATGAGGTTAAATGAGAGAGCGTTTGAGAAGATGTTTGGCACAGTGATCATGAATTAGGATTTAACCACTTCTTTTAGGAACAGAGAGTCTATGAAAGCTCTTCTTACATTACTGTGTTGGCTCTTCCACTGGTCTGGGTGAGGTAAGGTAAAAGGGCTAGATCACTTGTTGCTTTGTTCAATAAGACCATGCTATATTTAATGAGGCCCAAGAGGCTAGCAGGACACAACCAGGGTTTGTGTTATACTGTTACCATATCTTGGTGTTCAGACTCAGGGTCACATGTCCGCAGAGCACCAACCTCACACCTGGGGCCCACCTCCCCCATGAAGTTCTGCAGGTACCAGCTTCCCAGGGTAGCACCTAATGTTGCTGCTCCCTCCTTGGCCCAAGCCTGAAAGGCAGTCTCATAAGACATAAGTCCCGTAGGAGTACCCCAACTCACTGGGCAGCCACTTACCCACATCAGCCCCACTGAGTGCTTTTCCCAGGGGCCAGGGCCTCATGTCGATTCTCCTCCCATTAACAACGAGCAACTGCACACAGCCTTGAAAGCCTCGATTTGTTCCTGTTGCTCTGACCAACCAGTAAGCACTGGGAGCCCCACCAAGGTAGAGAGGTGTCCGGAAGGTAATTTTACTGTACTGGCCCTTTAAGAAAGATGAACAGTCCTGAACACTCTCACTAAACCAAATCACAAGCCAAAACACAACAGATTTTTATGAGGGACGTGGTTAAGACATCTGTAACAGCCCCAGCATTTTCTTCCATGTGTATTTTTCAAGACCTTGGCTTACTGGAAAATTAAACCCATGATTACCGTAGGGAACTCATTGAGGTTCTCAGAGGGCTGTGCTTTCAGAAGGCAGGATTTTGGAATGCCGAGAAGGGAAGAGAAGGGAGGTCAGAGCCACGCCCGACCCACCAGGCAGGGGACCATGCTAGGCGTCCAACAAAAACGTTCTCTTTCCAGTCCTGACACCAGCTGACTGTGTACTTTGGAAGGGTCTTAGGGCTATTCTGTGCCTCCAAAGGTGATGATATTAATTTTGTATACAGTGGGCTAACAATTACCCTTTCACTGTTCTAGTCACCTTTATACTATATCCTGAGATAAACATTGTGGGGGGGAAATTACCAAACAGATTATGATCCAAATCGTTTTGAAATTTGCTTATGAATATGACTCTTTTTTTAAAGTGTTGTTACAGCGAGGTAGGGAAACTTCTTACCTTAGACCAAACCACAATCTGGATTACAGGCTTTAAAGTTATAAAATACAGAGCTGAAGATTAGGTGGGGCAAAATTAAGTCACCCCTGGTCTTTATTTATGATCAAAATTATCTCATTCATTTCCATTACAGGACAAGGAAGGGTGTCAGGGAAAGGCATGCTGCCAGAACTTATAAAATGTTCAGAGTGTAAGACTCTGAAACCTAATCTTTATCCTTTAAACTTCTGTTACCAGCAAGTAGAAATCTAATCATTGTTTTATCTTTTCTGATGAAGAGATAAGAATCATTTGTAAATAGTAGACTGAACATGAGCTAGGCAGAGGGTTTTCAGGGTCAGTTACAGTCCGCCAGCCACTGAGCATGCTGCTTTTATTAGATGAGTTAAATGTCCTCTTGGCTTCTTTCACCAAGATTCTCAGAATTCACTTCTTTGGATCCCATCCTGGCCCTTCCAGTCTTGTTCCCTGATTTAGGACCACAGCGGGAGTCCTGACAGCTCCATCCTTTTCTAGAGCATAAAGTGCCTTGTAGGCGTGGGTGGCTACTTTGCTGTGCTCTTCGCAAGATCCCGGGGAATAGTCTTCAAACCTGGCTTTTATATTTCAGAGGAGGGTTGCCTTCTGATCCCTGGAGCCTGCTTTGCCTGCCTGTACAGAGAAATGGAAGTGCCCTGGAATTCACATTCTCTCAGGACAGCCCTTAAGAGTTTGGGATGAGTCTGAGGTATAATTTATACTCCAGAGCTCCTCTGCTGAATCAGGCAGAAGCCATATTCTGAAAAACGTAGCCTGAGATCTCACTCTTGCTGATATCCTCTTCTTCCCTGTCCACCTCCTCTCTCTTAGCCACTTCTCATGGGAGCACTTTCTTAATACATCACTGGCACAGGACTCCACATCTCAGGTCTGTTGCTGGGGAATCCCACTTAAGACAGAATCACTATCTCTCAAAACAGCTTATTAAACATCCACATCTGTGGTCCTACTTTACAACTTACTTAGCAAGTCTCACTAGTATGGAGGCAATCTTTGGCCTGAGTATCCATAAAGCTACATGTTTCTTGCAATTAATTCTTAAAAAAAAAGATGGTGATATGGTTTGGCTGTGTTTCTACCCAAATAACATCTTGAATTGTAGCTCCCATAATCCCCACATGTTGTGGGAGGGACTCAGTGGGAGGTAACTGAATCCTGGGGGTGGTTACCCCCATGTTGTTCTCGTGATAGTGAGTTCTCATAAGATCGGATAGTTTTTCCCCACTTTGCTCAGCACTTCTCCTTGCTGCTGCCATGTGAAGCAGGGTGCATTTGCTTGCCTTCCACCATGACTGTAAGTTTCCTGAGGACTTCCCAGTCATGCAGAACCATAAGTCAATTAAACCTCTTTTCTTTATAAATTACTTAGTCTCAGGTATTTCTTCATAGCAGTGTGAGAACGGCCTAATACAGTTGGGGTCTGCCCGTGTTACCCAGGCTGAAGTGCAGGGCTATTCATAGGCTCAATCATGGCTCCATGCAGCCTTGAACTCCTGGGCTCAAGCAATCCTCCTACCTCAGCCTCCCAAGTAGTTGGAACTACAGGTACGTGCTACCACACCCCCACTTTTTGTTTTTTCCTGGAGACAGGGTCTCACTCTGTTGCTCGGGCTGGAGGGCTGGAGTGCAGTGGCACCATCTCAGTTCACTGCAGCCTTGACCTCCTGGGCTCAAGTGATCCTTGCTCTTCAGCCTCCCAAGTAGCTGGACTATAGGCATATGCCACCACACCTGGCTAAGTTTTCTGTTTTTGGTAGAGATGAGGTTTTACCATGTTGCCTATGCTAGTCTCAAACTCCTGAGCTCCAGTGATCCTCCTGCCTCAGCCTCTCAAAGTGTGGGAATTACAGGTATGAGACACTGTGCCTGGCAATTAAATTAATTCTTTTTTTTTTTTTTTTTTTGAGATGGAGTCTTCCTCTGTTGCTCAGGCTGGAGTGCAGTGGCACCATCTCAGCTGACTGCAACCTCCACTTCCCAGGTTCAGGTGATTCTCCTGCCTCTGCCTCCTGAGTAGCTGGGATTACAGATGCCCACCACCCACACCCAGATAATGTTTTTATATTTTTATTGGAGATGGGGTTTCACATGTTGGCTAGGCTGGTCTTGAACTCCTGACCTCAAGTGATCCACCTGCCTCGGTTTCCCAAAGTACTAGGATTAGAGTCATGAGCCACCGAGCCTGGGTCAATTAATTCTTATATTCATTAAAATCATAGAATCTTGAGATGAACAAAAAATATAATAACTCTTATAATTCAAGCTCTCACTGGCTGTTGGATTCCTGGTACACCCCTAACAAGAAGTTTAGATAAGTTATCCTTTGAACACCCCGCAAGGATACCCCTCTCTCCTGAGATAGTCTGTTGCACTTCTGTCCCTTTGCATGATTAGGTGAAGCTAAAATCGGCCTCCTGAGGCTCATCCCATTCATTCAGCTTCGGACTTGGGGGTCCATGGAGTAAATCTTTCTTTCCCAAGACTCTCCCATTAACTCTGTAATGAAAAGCTGCCTTTCATGCCTTCATCTTCTCTGCTCCAAACTAAACACTGCTCCTTCATTCAGTCATTGAAGGGATTTCAAGTCATCTTCCCGCTTGGGCGACAACCCCCGGAACATGTTCTAGTGTGTCTGTGGCCTTCTTAAAGTGTGATCCACACGTGAATGTAATCGTCTCAGAGGACTAGAGTCACCAGTGGAGTCACTAGAAGCTATCACATAGTCACCACAATAGAATAAGATCATCACCTCCCTTGTTTAGATGCTATGACCCTATTAACACAGCCTATAATCTCTTTAGCTTATTGTTCCCAAGTGACCCTGTTTGTTAATGGTTACGAAACTTCCCCACTTTAAACCATTAGACATTTTCACAGGCTCCTATTGTAGCTTCCCATTTTGCATTTGTGTTAGTATTTTGGACCCAAGCTAGAAGTTTCTCTATTCTATAAAAGTTAGCCAACTAACTTTTATCATGTTAGGCCTATAGTTCTGGCACTGATGTGGTTCATTGTCCCTGTCTTTTTCTTACTGAGCCATCCGAACATAAACCATCTCCCTGGATTCACATTTACTAAATTTTAATCTTATTCCTTTGGAACCAGTGGGATCAAAATTAATGAGATATTTTCTTCTATTTTTTGGAAGGCAGGGTATCAGCAAGGCATGGCCCTTTATATTATTTCAGGGTCCCCAATCCCTGGGCCATGTACGCATACTAGTCTGTGGCCTGTTAGGAGCTGGGCTGCACAGCAGGAGGTGAGTGGAGGCGGGGTGAGCGAGCACTGCCGCCTAGCTCCGCCTCCTGTCAGATCAGCCGTGCCACCAGATTTTCATAGGAGCACAAACCCTATTGTGAACTGCACAGGCGAGGGATCTAGGTTACACGCTCCTTCTGAGACTCTAACCATGCCTGATGATCGGAGATGGAACAGTTTCATCCTGAAACCATGCCCCAACCCCAGTCCAGGGAAAAATTGTCTTCCATAAAACTGGTGCCTGGTGCCAAAAAGGTTGGGGACCGCTGCCTTATATAACGTGTCTTGCTGGCAAAGAGTAGAGAGGAGCTCAGGCAGGAAGGAAGATACAGGCATATACACAAAGGTTCTCTTGCTACATGTTTCCTCAGAGAATACAGACACCTGCCTGATTATAATTACAGGCTCAGTTCCTTGGCAGGCTGCTAATCCAAACTGTTTATTCTGAACACAGTCCTAAAATTGCCCAGACCATAACAAATATGTGAATACTAGGCGATTTGCTGAGTAGCCCGACAGTCTAATTTTTTTTTTTACCATTTCCTTCAATTATGCCCCCCCAACAAGGGTAGACGAACAGCTTATTCCTGCATTTTGAACCAAGTGAACCTTTCAAGGCTATCTTCTAAAGCCACAGGATTGCAACACCCCTGCCCTGAGAGCAAGCTTTGGGTTTGACACTAATAATGGGCTCTAGGTTGGGTGTGGTGCCTCATTCCTGTAATTTCAGCACTTTGGGAACCCCAGGTGGGAGAATCGCTTGTGTCCAGGAGTTCAAGGCCAGCCTGGCAACAGAGTGAAACTCTGTCTCTACAAAAAACAAAAGAAATTAGCCAGGCGTGGTGGCACATGCCTATAGTTCCAGCTACTTGGGAGACTGAGGTAGGATGGTTTGAGCCAGGGAGTTAGAGGCTGCAGTGAACCATGACCATGCCACTGCACTCCAGCCTGGGGGACAGACTGAGACCCTGCCTCAAAGTAATAATAGTAACAATGGGTTCTACTCTTCCAATATGAGCCTTCTTCTACCACTGGCTTTGATGTACTCGGGGAAAGAGAATTTGTCCTTGGGCACAGGCCTGCAGCATGTACCTGTGCACCAACAGCAATGATGCTTGCAAGTTTAATTCCTCTCTTCAGTAGATGTGGGGTGGATGTGTGCCCTGAAAGCTCACCTGGAGTGCAAGAGCACAAGGGAGCACATCAAAGGTCTGTTGCATGGGTTCACCATGAGAAATGGACCTCACCAAGCCCAATCAGAACTTGAATCATGCAGACTCTGCCACAGCTCCCTGCAGTGAGGCCCTCTCAGGAGGCTTCTGGTGGGCGGTAAGTGGGGTGGGCAGGGCATGGGGCTCACACTCACCTGGGACTGACCTGTCACCGGGGTGCCATTGTTTAGCTGCAGCAGCCCATTCTGTCCATCTCTGTAAAGCATAACTGTGTGCCAGCCCCCCAGTTTGATTTTGGTCTCACTTACAATGGTGGCAACCCCAGTTCCACAATTAAACCTGTTTGGGGAGAAAGGGAAAAGAAGATTCTTTGATTAACCAGCTCATTATGCTTTCAGACTCCATGGACATCACTTCCAGGACAACAGCTCCTTTCAGAGTCAATCTGTTCAGGGTTATGTTTATGAATATCAAGCACTGTTGAAATCAATACAAAGAAGTAGGAGGCACCTCTTCCTGGGGACAATCTACGTCTGGTAATCCTTCATCTGCCCATAGGACCTTTCAATGTAGGGCCTTTGTAAACTTGATTTTTTCTGGAGCTTAGAAAATGATGTGCATATAGGTACTGTGCTTTCTACCTGTGTGATGGGATCTGTACCCCAAGCCTCAGCATCATGTGGTATTCCCATGTAGCAAACCTGCACATGTATCCCCTATATTTAAAATACAAGTTGACATTAGGCTGGGCATGGTGGTTTACGTCTGTAATCCCAGCACTTTGGGAGGCCAAGGCAGGCAGATCACCTGAGGTCAGGAGTTCGAGACCAGCCTGGCCAACATGGTGAAATCCAGTCTCTACTAAAAATACAAAAATTAGCTTGGTGGTGGGTGCCTGTAGTCCCAGCTACTCCAAAGGCTGAGGCAGCAGAATTGTTTGAACCCAGTAGGCAGAGGCTGCAGTGAGCTGAGATCGCAGTACTACCTGGGTGACAGAGTGAAACTCTGCCTCAAAAATAAATAAATAAAAATAAAAAATAAAAGTTGAAATTTTAAAAAGCTTGGCACGGTGGCTAGTGTCTGGAATCCCAGCACTTGGGAGGCCAAGGCAGGTGGATCATGGTCAGGAGATCGAGACCAACCTAGCCAACATGGTGAA